CGGGTGAACAGTAGCGGAAGTCACGGGGTGAACAGTAGCCGAAGTCACGGGTGAACAGTAGTCACTAAGAATTTGATATAAATACAATTATATGTGACCTTATTAACCTTAACACTTTAGTTTTTTAAAATGTCTGAGTCTGAGAGTGAGTATTCTTCATCTTCTTCGTCTTCAACATCAGAAAAATTTGTTGAATGGCTTCTTGATGATTCTTCCTCCAAACTCACTACCMACTATGTTGCCTTACAAAAACAACAAATAGCAGATGCAACTTCTACGTCAAAACGTAAAAAGAAGAAAAGAAGAAATATAGAAAGAAAGCGTGAAGATGGAGATCGACGTTTGTACGAAGACTTCTTTTCTGAGAATCCGACATACAATGATGATATATTTCGACGTAGATTTCGGATGCGGAGACCATTATTTCTTCGCATAGTTGAAGGTGTGAAGAATCACGATACTTTGAAGGTGGTATCGATTGTACCGGTAGATCAAAATTATCATCTCTTCAGAAGTGTACTGCTGCGATACGAATGTTAGCATATGGTGTAGCTGCAGATGCCGTTGATGAATATTTACGAATTGGTGAAACTACAACAATAAAATGTGTTAAGAAGTTTGTACGAGCTATTATTGCAGTGTTTGGGGACGAGTATTTACAAAGACCAAATGTCGCTGACCTTCAACGATTACTTTATATTGGGTACCAACGCGGTTTTCCAGGTATGTTAGGCAGTATTGATTGTATGCATTAGGAGTGGAAAAATTGTCCGGTGGCATGGCACGAACAATATGCTAGAGGGGACCATAAAACTCCAACTATTATGTTAGAAGTAGTTGTTTCACAAGATTTGTGGATATGGCATGCTTTTTTTGGGCTTCCAGGCGCATTAAATGATATCAATGTGTTAGATCGATCTCCCATCTTCCACGAGGTCTTAGAAGGGAAAGCACCAGAGGTAAATTTCTCTGTTAATGGTAACAACTATAGTTTAGGATACTACCTTGCAGATGGAATCTACCCTAACTGGGCTACGTTTGTGAAATCCATCCATTGCCCCAAAGTCAAAAACATCAGCTATTTGCAAAAAAAAAAAAAAGAATCAGCTAGGAAAGATGTAGAAAGAGCGTTTGGCGTATTACAGTCACGATTTGCCATAGTTAGAGGTCCATCACGGATGTGGTTCAAGGAAATAATCGGAGAAATGTTACGAGCTTGCGTAATAATGCACAACATGATTGTCGAAGATGAACGTGACTCATACATTAGTCAATTTGATTTCATAGATGATGCTAATTTCAGTATATCTATGCCTGAAGTTTCTCGAAATCATCTTCCTAAGTATGAAAATTATCTTCGAAGTCATGCAAGAATACGTAACCGGACTCACAACAATCAATTACAAGCGGATTTGGTTGAAGAGATTTGGAGCCGATTTCAAGGAGAAGAAAACAATGATTAACGTAACGTTTTATTTCTATCTATATGTAATATTTTTAATTCAATAAATGTTGTGTTTTGATATGATTTAATAAATTAATGTTTCAAATTTAAAACAATAAATTATATAATTATTATATTATATTATATCGTATATTAATCGTTTTAATTAACATTGAATTAAAATAAAATATTTATTAATTAAAAAATAATTAGAATGTATATATAAATAATTTATAAAATAGTTAATAAATGTTGTAGTGGGGACCACTTTTGAAAGTGTAGGTGAATTGCACGTGTGTAGGTGGTAATTGCAAAAGCTGACGTGACACAGTTGAAAGTGTTGTAGGTGAATGGCAGGTGTGTGGAAGATAATTGCAAAAGCTGATGTGACACAATTGAAAGTGTAAATGGATTGCAGGGATGTGGATGGTCTAAAGGGTTGTCACATGATGTGACATAGTTGTCATATGTGGGACCCACTATTAAAACCAATTTTGTTTTTTGCAAAAAGGCCCCCTTACGCACCATTTAGTACGTAATGCTAAATGGGGGGCTATTTTTAGAAATGTCATTTTTTGTGGATTATTTTCATAAATTTAATATTTTGAGGGGTTAGTTTTGTCAAGAAACCTTGTTATTTATACCTATCATTAATAGCTAAGGTGAGCATCGAAATAGGATACCTATCTTTGGAACCGAAACCTTTTTAGAACTATCAATTTTGGAACCGAAACCGATGTGATTGGTTCCGGTTCCAGCTCCAAAAATACGAAACCAATCAGGACTGGTATTGATTCTCATTTTTTGGAACCCTTAATCGTTGGGTATCTGTCGGGACTGGTTCTAGGAATGGGTACACGGTCTTGCTGGGCAGGGACGGACCCATAATTTTTTTCAAACGATGGCACCATATAATTAATATAATATAATATAATATAATATAATATACATCTAAAAATAATTACAAAAAATATGGTTTTTATAGTACCGATAAACAACTCCTAAACTTGTACCCGACGCGTCTTCATCTTTTGAAAATGGTCAATATATACCCAAAATGATTACAAAAAGTATGGTTTTTATAGAATTGATAAACAACTCCTAAAGTTGTCATCGGCATGTCTTTATCTTTTAGAAACGATCGATGACATCTTCGGTTTTAACATTACTAAGGGCTTCCTTTTCTATGGCACAAATGTTATAACCGGGTTTCAGACAACCTGGGTTGAGGTAACCTATACGTGATTATTATTTGAAATTACATGATGGCATGTATGATTATTTAATTAATGCAGAAAGAATATGCATATATGTGAAAAGGTGCATACATGATTGTATAATTGCATACATGTAATATGGAGCATACATGAGGATTTGATTATTTTAATACATAAAAATGCAATATCTTCAAAATGAAGAAAGGTGATTATTAATAAGATAAGCTCCACCACCTAAACCATTTTTATAATAAAAAGAAATCCTCCACCGTCTGGTAAGGATATTTAAAGAAAGGGATAAGGTTCTAACCTTATCACTTTTATTTAGAAAAGAAAACTTGTTTGAAAGAAAAAGGTGTTTTGAGGCGGTGAAGAGAAGTTCTTGATAGGGATGGTGATTTGCCCCGACCCGGTGGGGAACCCGGTTCACCCGACCCGAACGGAGACGGGGATTCCCCGCTAAAACGGGTCCCGGGGCCGGGGATCCCCGATAGACTCAAACCGGGGACGGGACCGGGGACGGGGAATGTTACTCAAAACGGGGCCGGTGTCGGGGCCGGGGATCCCCGGTATAATCAAACTAAAGCATACTTTTTACCGGGTTTTGACCGAGGATTGACCGGGTTTTGACCAGGGATTGCTAGAATTTGACCGGGGACGAGATGATGATCCCCGTACCCGACGGGGACTGGGGCCAGGGGACGGTATTACAAACCGGGGCCGAGGCCGGGGATTACAAAACCCGCCCCATCCCCGCCCCGTTGCCATGCCTAGTTCTTGAAGAAAATTGTTGTTTTAAAAGTCCTTAAAGATTCTGTGAATTGTTGTGTGATACTATCTGCAGAATCTGTGTTGATTAAGGTGAGTTTTTAAACTACCGTCGAGTATAAACTGTGAGTTTAATCTACTGTTTGATTTTATAAACTGTTGGGTTTTGTTAACTTGAGATTTAGAAAGAGTTTGATGAAGTTGTTTCTAAACAGTTTTTTTTTTTTAAGAAATGTTGTATGATTTTGAAATTTGAAATTGTCTTAAAGAGATTAAAGCAGAAATTGTTCTTTTAAAAATAGTTTTGAGAATGATATCCTGTTTTAAGGATTTTAAGAGGATTAGATGATTTGAGAAATCATTTACAAAACATAGTGTTCTTGTGATTAAAAGGGAATATAAACCTATTTTGACACCATGATTGGTTAGAACTATGGACGAGGCTCACTCTGACGTATATGACTTTGTTCCATCATTGGATGAAATAGTCTATAGATTTTGGTTAAAACTATGAACGAGGTTCACTCTGACAGAAATGACTGTAGCTTGTCATTGGATGAAATAGTTCATAAGAATTTCAGGGGAAATAAGGATGGTCGTTGTGTGTTATGGATATAGTTGTTGCTATTAAAGGGAATTTTGGATGTAATAAGGTTGGTCGTTGTGTGTGTATGGTATAACTATTGTTATTATATCTTTTAAGATTACAACAGATTGGAGTTCTCACTTCTTGGTTATTTGAGGATTCAAAGATGTTATTCTTATTAGAAATAATAGTATTGATGTTATGGTTACGGGAAAATTATGGCCTATGGCCGTTGGTTTTGGTTAAAAGTGTTTTGAAACAGAATGTACATTTTATGAAAAATCAGAGGGGCTCTGGTTGTTCCTTGTAAGGAACCAGAGGGGTTCTGGTTGGACCTAACTATAAAACCAGAGGGTTCTGGTTATTGATTTGAGAAATATACAAGTTCTTACAAAATGTACTAGTTGGACCAGAGGCTTTGTATCTATTGATAAGAGCTTATGTGTCAAAAATCATATTTTAAGAAGTTTTTAAGAAAAGGATTTTCATACTTAGTTTTTCTTATAAAATACAGACCAGAGGGGCTCTGGTTGGCTTACATGTTGAACCAGAGGCTCTGGTTGGTTTTGACTTTTAAATCAGAAGCTCAGGTTAATACAACCAGAAGCTCTGGTTATACATGAACTCTTTTTAATCATTTTTGGTTATGGAAAAAGCTATTTTATTACCTACAATGTTAGTCAAGGAATGTTATGAGAAGTTACCTGAGCAAGAGGCTCTGGTAAAGAACCAGAGGGGCTCTGGTCCTCTTATGAGTTGAAATATTTCCTAAGTACGATTTTGGACTATAGGTCCGATGGACTCAAACAGAATGTGGTTTTATCCTTCAATATATGAAATGGTTTAAATATTTTGGTGATCTTGACCCTGCATTACATAAAAAGGGAACCTCACTAGACATTCATGTCTAACCCTCATTTTGTGTTTTCAAAATATGTATGCAGGTAATGATAATAAGGGAAAGAGCATTCTGTGAATTATTTCTCTATGTGTTTAGATGTATGAAGATCTTAAATTAGCCATGTTTTGGAGTATAGATGTTAAGATACAAGAGCATGTATTTTTGGAATTTTTGAGTTGTATATTTTATAGCATAGTCTCTTGTATTATGGACCTATGTGGGGGGGAAACATGTATTATATGAATGAATTATGTGTAAATATGCAATGTATGGATTTGGGGGTGTTACAACAAATGAGGGCATAATTCAAAAAATCATCACCAATTCGATTACGTAAATCTGTCTTAACAAGCTTCATTGCCGAAAAACATCTTTCAACCGTAGCAGTTGCAACAGGAAAAACTAGTGTTAGTTTCAATAACCGATAGAATAAAGAATGAGAAAGATGCTTTCTTGTTGCACCATTAATCTGGCGAGTTCGGCAATACCGTTTAAGTTGGCAAATCTGACATCATTATAAACAGAATGATAGTAGATGTCAAGTTCGTGCTTAAGAATGATCCTTTCCTTGTCTTCAAAATCTCGGGGATACATCTGACTCAACTTCAATAGGTTTGATTTGTTAAACTGAGAAAACGAAATGCATGGATTCAAAGCTGCCATATTTTGAAGCAAGTCGGTGCTTATCTCACCAAAACGATCACCAAACTCTCGGATCTGCATATCCAAAAACAGTGTTGAATATATCATAGTTATAATAATGTTGATTGTTAATGTTCATCCTTTTCCTTGAATTTCTTGTATTAACATAAGCTTTAGCCATATCCAACTTCACAATCTTATGTTTATCACAAAAGAGTAGCATTTCTCCAAAACTTGATCAAACCCATTTTCTCTCAACATTTGAATATGACCTTTGGTTGTTCCTATCAAATCAATAGCTTCCAAGATGTCTTCATCTTTCCTTTGAAGAGCATGAGACAATGAATTTGTTAACCCTAAGATCGTTGATATCAAGTGCATATAAAACACAAATTCAAATGTCTTTAAGTATGATAAAAGACCTTTTGCTTGAAGCCGACTAGCTCCATTATCACCATCATCTTCGACATATTCAAGCACCTGTATAACCTCTGGAAACAAAGCAATCAAACTCACGATTGTTTTAAGATGAGAATTCCATCGTGTATCTCCAGCTCGTACAAGGGAAATCTCTTGGTTTAACCCCTTACCAGTCTCAATTTCGTTATTCCCAATTTCTTCTTGAATTCTCTTTTTGTGACTTTCTCGTAGCATATCTTTTCGTTTGCAAGAAGAGTTTACAACAGTAACAACCAACGCAAGCAAATCAAAGAAGTCTTTAATACTTTCGTGTTTTTTTTGCAACCGCCACAATTACTAACTGAAGTTGATGGGCAAAACAATGTATATAAAATGTCGAGTCATTAATGTAGGGTCGGTCGCAGTTAAAATATCGTATTACAAAGTGATTTACGGTCCCAAAATGATAACAATAAATCACAATGCAAACTGACCCAATACAACAAATGCGGATTAACGAGATCTATATATTGTATATTTTTGTCTAACAAAACATACTGATCCACAAATGTAAAATTAGCAGTTATATCAGGTATACGATCAAATATCAAAACGACATGTAAATCGAGACAACGAGATTTAACGTGGTTCCACTATCGAGGTGATAGTGTACGGCCACAGGGAGAGAGAGATCGATTTATTACTAACCGGGAGAACTTACAACGTGTTTTACGAGATCCTTGGATCAACGAATCAGCTACCCAAAGTTTTCTCAAAAACAAAGTTATATATATATATATATATATATATATATATAACAAACTATGACGGGAGGAAAACAAAGGAAGAAAGAAACTTGTGTCTCACTTTCCATCCTACATGTATATATATATATATGTATATATATATATATGTATATATATATATGTATATATATATGTATATATATATATGTATATATATATATATGTATATATATATATGTATATATATATATGTATATATATATATGTATATATATATATGTATATATATATATGTATATATATATATATATATATAGAAGAAAAGTAAAAGAATGGGCGGCAACCCATCTCCTCATGCATCAACTTGGATGGATAAGCTATCATCATCTCCTCATGCATCAACTTGGATGGATAAGTCATCATCATGTTTGACTAAATGGCAAATAGGTTGTAGGATGGGTGGCAATCTTATGCCATGCAAGTTGGCAACTTAAAATTAATATGTGGTTGATATTAATTTTAACCTCATGCATTAACCACTTGTACTTTGAGTTTGGTGAGTTGTACAGCATCCTAAAAACTTACCAAAATTAAGTTTTTCAACA